TGAAGTAAGTTTTTGCCAGAAAACTATACTCTTAATTTCAAATGCAAGAGTACGTACCAGAATTGGGGGAAAGGAAGAACTATCTTCCAGGAAACAAAAGAGTGACAGAAAGTGTAATTACAGCTATGAAGAAACTCTACATTGCAACATTTCAGGGGGCTACAGGTAGATAATGGAGGTTTCACACAGGAATTAAAAGACGTTCTACTCATGCATCATTGTTCTATATGCACAGCTATTGTGGAAATGCTTTATTGCTGGAGGACTATCACTGTCTTCAGGACAGAGAAACCAGGATCAGAACAGAAATGGCACTGGCCTTGGCACTAGGCGTGAAACCAAACCATTGCTAAGCCAAACCATATTGCCCCACCTATTTTACTGCCTGTCACTCCACCACTCTGCATTCACAGCCTTTGGTTTCACCGCAGATGATATCCAGTGTTTTGGCTGCATGTCAGCCTCAGGGTGAAGAGAATATAATTCAGTGATACTCGAGGGAAATAAAAGTATATGAAATTCTTTGTCTTGTCACCTTCAAGGTATGGATGGAAACTGTGCCTCCCAACCAACAATTATGAGACATATTTCTGCCAGCCAAACTGAGGCCGAGCTTTACACCTGGGCAATAAAGAAGACAGACAAAATTTCCTCTCCCCACAGCTTTCATTATGACATTTCCAATAAGCAAATTATTAAGCTGTTAGATAAGAATTATTGACAACCCACAAACACACAGGAAGAATCTCCAAAGGCACCCATAGAGCCTGAATAACATCTCTTCTACCCAGACTTCTCTGGGAAGGTGAAACAGTGAAACAGCATGACACTATGGATGAGTACCGAACTGGAAAAAGAGCAAAATATTATCTTGTGTCCTTCAACAGCCCATTGTAAACAGAGCCCATTTCCCAACCCCTTAAACATCCTCTCCCATCTCCAAGCCCTCAAAATTTGCATAGAGCTCTTTGAAACAAATAATTTTCAAGCATTTCTCATCAAGAAGCCCATTGCCCTGAGCCTTTCTTTATATAATGCACCAAGACCATGTCACATAGATAACTTTATATCTCTACACTCACAGTTCATAATCACAGAATCAGCCGGGTTGGAAAAGACCTCTGAGATCATCAAGTTCAACTCTTAATCCACTACCTCTGCAGTTACTAGACTATGGCACTAAGTGCTACATCCAGTCTTACCATAAAAACCTCCAGGGATGGAGAATCCACCACTTCCCTGGGCAGCCCATTGCAATGCCTGATTACCCTCTCTGCAAAGAATTTCTTCCTATTATCTAACCTCCCTTGGCAGAGCTTAAGACCATGCCCTCTTGTCTTACTGACAATAACATGGAATCAGGACCCTTCTAAGAAAACTTCCTTGGGAAGATGAAACACTATGATAGCCCAGACAGGTGCTAGGCTGGGAAAGAGGGAAAACTTTCTCTTCTGCCCTTCAAAAGCCCCTCACACAAAGCATCTCCAACATTTCACAAATTTCATAGCGTTTTTTGAAAACCACTAATTTGCAAACCATTCTCAGCAAACAGTCCGTTGCCCACGTAATTTCTCTATGAAATCTCTCAGGAACATGTCATGGGCATAGCTCTTCATATCTATATTGAGAGAAGGTTCTAAAAGTAAAGCAGAGGCTGTCCTGCAGGTCAGAGTGCATCAGAGAACACAATATAACAGGGTAACGAAGTGATAAAACAAAAGGTCTTGCTAGGAAGAAAACTTCAGCCACCAGAACCATCCCTTTTACTTCCTCTCCAACAACTGGAAGGATGACAACTGAAATTGGGTCCACCCCCACTCCAGAAAAAAAGGGCTCAATACGTTCTGAACG